CTTGGTGAGCAGCCCTGTGTCACTGGCTCTGTCCAGTCCTATCTATGTAGGGGCCGTGAACCCCAGGGAAGAAGCGCTTCCGAGAAGTTCCATCCCTTGGGACTTCTGGCTTCCTTCCTTCCTTCCTTCCTTCCTTCCTTCCTTCCTTCCTCCCTCCCTCCCTCCCTCCCTCCCTCTCTCTCTCTCTCTCTCTCTTTCTTTCTTTCTGTCTTTCTCTGGGGCTTTTGAACTCTTTGCTCTTGCTTGTTTTTCCCCTCAAGGCTAACACTCTACCACTGGAGCCACACCTCCACTTTTGGCTTTTTTTTTTTTTTTTGCTGGTTAATTGGAGATAAGAGTCTCAGACTTTTTCTGCCTGGGCTGGCTTTGAACTGCCATCATCAGATCTTACTTAGCTCCTGAATAGCTAGGATTACAGGTGTGAGCCACAAGTGCAGCCACAGCTGCTACCAGGAAGTAACTTTCAAGTTCAAGGTGTTAGTGGGCTATCTAATAACTATATTAACTGCTCAGAAAAGGGCTAATCGTAGTCAGCTCCAGGCAAGGTGTGTGGCATCACAGCCAAGACAGTATAGAAATGGCTCCCACACCTGGGTCTTGTTCCTTTGCGTTAGCCCCACCCACACAATTTCTGTTACTTAGTACCATTTTAATGTTGCCAAAGGGACAGTGTTTGGGACTACTGCTATGCTTAGTACTTGGAGTACTAAGTCAGGTAACTGGGACACCTGCTGTGTGAAAACCTCTCATGGGAAACAAACCTGGGATGGATGGTGAGCAAAATATAACAGATCTGCACTGAAATTGAGGTTAACTTGTACAGAGACATTTGGGAATGGTGTGTGTGACTGTACAGTGAACTACATGTTATTTGCTTCTCTCTGTCCCCGGTGAGGCCCTGGGGTGATGCTAATGATGAGCAGGACTTTCAGCTGTGGAGGGTGCAAGTCTTAGTTTGGGAGATGAAGGCTGGAGAGTTAGCTGGTGGAGAGTTAGCTGGTGGAGAGTTAGCTGGTGGAGAGTTAGCTGGTGGAGAGTTAGCTGGGGAGAGTTAGCTGGCTAACTCTTCGAGGACAGCAGCTGGTGCTCTGTATCTGTCATCCTTAACCTTTGTCTCCTCTATAATAGCTTAGCCTCCTGCTTTTCTCAGTCTAGGCTGGTCTCTAAACCTCCTGGGGGTGCTCACGCCTGTAATTGTAGCTTCTCTGGAGGCTGAGATCTGAGGATCATGGTTGCAAAGCTGCCTGGGGCAGGAAACTCTTGTCTCCAATTACAGCTGGAAATGGAGGTATAACTCAAGTGGTAGAGTACCAACCGTGAGGGAAAAAGCCAACAGCTCTCAGGCCCTGAGTTCAAGCCCCAGGAGCAGCACAGAAGAAATGTTGGGAGTGGGGAGGGAGAGGTGGTGTTCCCTTTGTGTGTGTCCAGCTTCATGTTGATGTGGTTGGCTTCCATCTGAAGATGCCTGTGTTCTGGCCCCTTGCAAGTCCCTGCCGAGGGACCTCGGCCAGTGTTTTGATTCTGTCATTGCAGGCAGCCCAGCCCTTCAGCCTTATCTCCCCCCCACCACACTGGCTCCTGCCTCCTGTTTTGAAAGGTGTGAAACTTCCATGCTGATAACCAGACTGGCTGTTGGCAAGCATGGGAAGTCAGCATTTGGGGAGGTCCCCAGAGCCCAAGAGGCAGGCTGAAGTGACCTCCAGTTCTACATCCTCCCTGGGCTCCAGTCCAGGACCAGTGCCCTGGGAGTCTAACCAAGACTTTCTTCTTTGTCTTTTGCGTGTAGTAGTAAACGTCAGTATGAAACGGGTGGGAGGCTGCTGGTAACCCTGAGAAAGTGGACCGGGGCTTCCGAAGAACGTGAGAGGCGGCCATCTGTGCTGCTTGGTGACACCAGACCCTCGAGGGGCTTGGACTCAGGGCCTCACACGCTCCCTTAGCTTCTTCTGAGGCTGGTGCCACACCTCCACTTGGGGCTTTTTGCTGGTTAATTGGAGATTTTCTCTTGGATTCATCTGTCCTGATGACTTCCAACTTCTGTCCTCAGATCTCAGCAGCCTGAGGAGCTAGCGTGAACCACCGGTGCCCAGCTCGAATGTCTTCTTTTAAGGGGAATTAGGGAAACGGCATCTTTAGAGGACTTTTGTGAGAATTAGATGAGTTGATCCACACTCAGCCCTGGCAGCCCTGTCTTACTGCTTGTTTGAGACACTTGTCAGAGTTTTGCTGGGCACAGCTTTGTGGCTTGGGTCAATTATGTCTTTGAGCTAAGGTAGAAAGAGTTGTGGGTATTGGTTGTAGCAACTGTAAATAGAACTTTTTCGGGGTGGGGAATAGAATTATAATGCCTTTATTTAAAATACACACACACACACACACACACACACACACACACACACATGAGTCAGGTATTGGTGGCTCACATCTGTAACCCTAGCTATTCAGGAGGCTGAGCTCTAAGGACTGCAGTTCAATGCCAGCCTGGGAAGATGAATCCCAGAGACACCTATCTCCAGTTAACCACTAAAAAGCTGGAAGTGGAGCTGTGGCTCAAGTGGTACAGCACCAGCCTTGAGTGAAAAAAGTAAGGGACAGCAGAAGGCCCTGGGTACTGGCACACAAAAACAACACAATAGTAATAAAACCACAGCACAATTTGTCTTCAGGCAGTGTAGTCACCTAAACTTCATTTCATGTTCGTGAAACACAAGTTGAATGTGTCTGTGAAGCTGTGCATTTTTAATGGATTTGGTGGCTGTGGAAATTTCTAGAATGTGAGCCCTCCTTGGCTGAGGTGCTTCTGGCAGCTGGTAGACAAAAAGCCTCCTTATGCCACCCCTGGTCCTAGATGACCCCTGACCTTCACTGACCCAAGGAATTCAAGGAGTAGGGGACGTCTTCTAGAAGGCCGGTCCTTGGTGCCCTGGCTTTTTCTCTTGTCAGCTGCCCTGATGTCTGTGGTCATTCTGGTGCCTGGCCTGGTTCTCTGGGCCAAAGCATGAAATTGCAGAGCATGACAGGTGACCAGTCTTCAATTTAGCGTTTGCAAGTCTGTGTGTTCTCTGGCTGTTGTTCTGATGTTAGTTATGTCCAGGTTCTTCTTCCTTCTGGAAATTTCCCACAAATGTATCTTTTTTTTTTCTCTGTGCAGCTCCTGGTAGGTTTCACTTTCTTTGATTGTTGGGAGCATGTCTTTAACCTGTTAGCACCTCTCCTGATCTCCCCAAGTTGGTCCCAGGGGATGCTCCCTGTTCTGTGAGCAAAGAGGGCACCTTGAGTGTAACAGGACCAGCCCTGTGTGTGTGTGTGTGTGTGTGTTGTGTATGAGTGTATGTGTATGTATGTATGCATGCATGCCAGTACTTAGGACTTGAACTCGGGGCCTAGGAGCTGTCCCTGAGCTTTTCACTCAAGACTGGCACTCTACCACTTGAGCCACAGCTCCACCTCTGGCTTTTTACTGGTTAATTGTTGATAAGCATCTCTCGGATTCATCAGCTTGGGTGGCTGCACAGCTGTATCCTCAGATCTCAGCCTTGTGAGTAACTAGGAAGACAGGTGTGAGCCACCATCCCCAGCTCTATTGTATTGTTCTGTTGCTGCCAGGTAACAGGAGACTGGTGACTTGGAGGGTTTCTGGGACGGTTGCTCCTTGAGAGTCAAGCCTTAGATGACATTGAACGGGCATTGGCCATCCTGGCTTGGACGAAGTACCAAGCATGCGTGCATCTGTCCCTCCCTTTTTCTGCATAAAACCTACAGCAAATGTGCTTCTCAAACACTAGTTTGGGGAGTGCTAGACTGCACTTACATTTGTTTCCTAGCCACTGTTGGTTAATTCTGCTATCTAGAATTTGCCTCTGAGCAGGGCCTTTCATGAGTTGGGAATGTGCATTTTCTGTGATTCTTTTATAAGGGGATTATGTTAGTGTTGATTTAAGGCAGTTAATTAAAACGGAAACTGTCCGTGGAAGCTCGGGTGTGTTAGCTAAGTGCTCAGGGCCTATAACTTGGTCTGTTCTTATTTGTCTAAGTAACTTGAAAATGTACTTTTGGTATTTAAAGTTATTTGGATAAGTGGGAGAAAATGAAGCAATAAATGACTTATTTCAGGCCAATAACTTTTTTTTTGTCAGTCTTGGGATCTGAACTCTGGGCCTGGGTCTGTCCCTCAGCTCTTCAGCCCAAGGCTAGTGCTCTACTACTAGTGCTCTGCCAGACTCTGGACTGAGCAAGGCCTATGGGGCCTGGCGTTTCTAGCCATGTGCGGTCCCAGCCAGCTGCTCACCTTGCTTTCCTGAAGGGCAAGCCCCCCTTCAGGTGTCTGCATATAGGCTGCCTGGCTTGGCATTATTCTTACCTGCTTCCTCATGAAGAGCTACCAAAAGCTCATCACTCTGTGTGCCCTAGCCAGACCCTCACCCTGAGTGACAGGACGGAAATCCCTGGCCCCAGGCAGGGCTGGAAGTCCGTGAGGAACTCCAGGGGAGTGTGCTGATTGGCAGGTGCAGTGGCTTCCAAAGAATGGAACTGCTCCGGGACAGGCTTTGTAAGCGTCAGCAAGCTGCCAGGCACGAGGTCGGGAAGCCACTGGGCAGAAGTGGGACCGAAGCCCTGCGGCACTCTGGCTTCCTAATATATCAATATTGGTTTGCACTTTAAGTTTTATATTTTTTTGTGTGTCTTTTAACAAATGGATTCATTCATTCTTCATTTATTGTGCTGGCACTGAGACTTTATTTCAGGACCTTGAGCTCTCTTGCTTGGATTTTTCTGTTAAGGCTAGCGTTCTACCATTTGAAACACACCTCCATTTCTGGCTTTTTGCTGGTTCATTAGAGGTGAGTCTCATGGACTTTTCCTGCCCAGGCTGGCTTTGAACCAGGATCTTCAGACCTCAGCCTCCTGAGTAGCTAGGGTTACAGGCGTGAGCCCCATTTACACGAACAGTTGGGGCTGTAGTCGGTGTCTCTGAGTGCCCGTTTTAGACTGCCTGGCCTTGCTCCGAGCGGATTCTAACTCAGTGTCTCCCCTTGGCTTTTCAGTTTTCCCCGGCCACCACGTCCCCTGAGATGGCAGACGAGAGCAGAAGCTCCAGGGCCTGTGCGTCCTTCAGCGTCCTCAGCTGGGATCAGGTTAGCCGGCTGCACGAGGTCTTGACCGAGGTCGTCCCCATCCACGGACGTGGCAACTTCCCAACCTTGGAGATAACCTTGAAGGACATTGTGCAGACCGTCCGCAGCCGCCTGGAGGAGGCAGGCATCCGAGTGCAGGACGTGCGGCTGAATGGCTCTGCGGCCGGACACGTGTTGGTCAAAGACAATGGCTTGGGTTGCAAAGACCTGGACCTGATTTTTCACGTGGCTCTTCCGACGGAGGCTGAATTCCAGCTGGTGAGGGACGTGGTTCTGTGCTCCCTTCTGAACTTCCTGCCAGAGGGCGTGAACAAGCTCAAGATCAGCCCCGTCACGCTGAAGGAGGCGTACGTGCAGAAGCTGGTGAAAGTCTGCACGGACACAGACCGCTGGAGCCTCATCTCCCTCTCCAACAAGAACGGGAGGAACGTGGAGCTGAAGTTTGTCGACTCCATCCGGCGCCAGTTCGAGTTCAGCGTGGACTCCTTCCAGATCATCCTGGACTCTCTGCTCTTTTTCTACGATTGCTCGAGTAACCCCATCTCCGAGCACGTCCACCCCACAGTGATCGCGGAGAGCGTGTACGGGGACTTTGAGGAGGCCTTCGACCACTTGCAGAACAGACTGATCGCCACCAAGAACCCTGAAGAGATCCGAGGTGGGGGGCTGCTGAAGTACAGCAACCTCCTTGTGCGGGACTTCCGGCCTGCCGACCAGGAGGAGATCAAAACCCTGGAGCGCTACATGTGCTCCCGGTTCTTCATCGACTTCCCTGACATCCTGGAGCAGCAGAGGAAGCTGGAGACATACCTCCAGAACCACTTTGCCGAAGAAGAGGGGAGCAAGTACGACTACCTGGTGATCCTCCGCAGAGTGGTGAACGAGAGCACGGTGTGCCTCATGGGACACGAGCGCCGCCAGACCCTCAACCTCATCTCCCTGCTGGCCCTGCGGGTGCTGGCCGAGCAGAACATCATCCCCAGTGCCACCAACGTCACGTGCTACTACCAGCCAGCCCCGTACGTCAGCGACGGCAACTTCAACAACTACTACATCGCCCACCCTCCCATCCCCTACAGCCAGCCTTACCCTACCTGGCTGCCCTGTAACTAACATGAAGACGCGAGGCCCCCTCTCCACGCTGGGGCTCAGCGGGGCAAAGCCTGCCAGGTAGAGCAGCCTCCTTCTAGATGTAGGTGTTTGGCTTTTAAAGGGGGCAACTCAGCTCTGATTTCTGCTTTTTTTTGATGCGTGTTACCCATCGGAGTGGGTCGATCACAAGCCAGCCCCCAGAAGACCCACTTTCTAAGTGCCGCGTGGCAAAACGCAATAGGAAATGTCACCTAGCCACAGCCTTTCCAACACAAGACACTGTCCCGCCGTGTGTGTCACAGACATGGGCACGGGCCATCCGGCTCTGGGCAGTGTTTGATTTGGTGTAGAGCCTGGGCCACACAGGAGAAGTTGTAAGCTACTCTAGGGCAGGCTGTGGTTGGCCCTTGCTTGAGATTCTCAGCAATTTCATGTCATTTGTGCTGAGTGTCTCTCCTATTGTGTGTCTTTTAATCAGGCCAAAAAAAAAAAAAAAAAGAAAAGAGAAACAGAGGGTGCTCTTGTGATTGGAATTTTGTTCCCGGGACTCAGCGGTGTATGTTTAGTCCCTGTCAGAGGAACGGAGGATTTCTCTGATCAATAAACCAAAGGTAATCGCTGGAGACTTCGGCTCTGGTTGGAAGTGGTTTATGGTTTAGACCCTGTGCTATCTTGAGGAATTACAAGATATTATAGAGAGGAGAAAAAAAAAAGGATGGCCTTTTCTTGAAAATGTAACTTGAAAACAAAAATAAAATGTGGAATATAATGTAAAAGTAGAATTGTGGTGGTGGGGGGGTGGCGATTGTACATAGGCAATATGAATGTTCTTTTTCTTTTCTCCATTGTTTCTTTAAGGAATTCTTACTAAATGGCACTTGCCCCTCCTGAGCGCTCTCCTGGCTAACTTGTATGTTGTTCTTCTGAAGACTAGCTATTGTGTCACGTCTGGAGTCACTGTCGCGGCTGACACGAGGGTCTTCTGTGTTTTCACTGGAACACTGGAGGCCCATTCTAGTCACATTCCACCTACGACAAGCTGTTTCACTGAAATATTCTGGCCTTTTGGTTTTGTAGTCATTGTTCGCCTTGTTTTCTCCAAATATTGTCATTTCCTTCTTCGGGCGCTTTTGGTAGCAGATGAATTTGGGAATTTCCGCAGGGCCAAGTGACCGTGGTATTGCTGTAGACACTCTTTTCCTCTCCCTGTGGAGACACGAGTTATCTGGCCTTATGTGCATTGGAATCACTGAGACACTTTGAAATAATTCTGATGTCTTTGCAGACAAATCAAGTGCAGGAAGGATGTTCTTAGCTCTGCGGATTTTGTTTAGACTGCACTTTAGAACAGTGTTCATCTCTACAGTGAAGCTGGCTTTGTCTTATGAGAGAGGCCAAAGCTGCTGTTGCTTCTTCCAGTAGGTTTACATGAAATTTTATATTAAAAAAATTTTTTTTGGTGGAATCTTTATAGAAAGCCTCGCTTTGTATCAGAAGTAAAGACACTCAGTATTGCCATCCAACTTGTTTTCTTATGTGATTTCATCAAATTCATGTACCTGATTCTCATTTTCTAAAACTAAAAAAAAAAAAAGAAAAAAGATTCAAATCCCTGATTGTTGTTGCTTCCTCTGGAAGCAGGGAAGTTACTGTAATGCAGAAATGCTTGGTAGAAAATGAGTGGCTGACCTTTTTCTAAATATAAACCTTCGGGTTTCTTCTGGAGTGTGCTTTCTTAGAGACTGTCTTGCTGAAGAGGACATGATGGAAATGGGGGGCCTAGCTGGTGTCCACATGGCGTGGCCAGGGCCACTTGTGAGTGGATCTGGCTTCTACTTCCCTCTGAACCCATGTTGCATTTGAGTTCCTCTGGGGATACCTGAGGTGCTTCAGTGTTGAAAGCAGAGGATGAACATGAGCTTGACTTTGACTCTCTGTGGGCTGGAAATGCTGCCGCTGTGGTCTGGTGACAGCCTATTTGCACAGAAATGACAGATTTGTTTAACCAAAGCTTTTGAGAGGTGACGATGCCAGTATAACATGCTGGCTAGCAGAAATCAGTATTGCGTCTGCCGGGAGAAGTACAGAAAGAGCGGGTCTGCATCGAGTCATTAAATTTCCAGTTTGCCCTTGGAGTTCTTTCGACTTCTGTATGTTTATTTTGTTCTTTTCTTTCCAGATCTGTCATAACCCTTTGAGAATGAAGGGAAGGTAACACAGTTTCGGGAACCCACCCCCTTCCCTCCCTGAGTTCTTCACTATCATTGCAGGGTAGCCATCCTACAGACCTTTTGGTCAGCTAATTTTGTAGTTTGAGAATTGACATGTGTTCTAGGACCACTAAGGTAAAAAGCCACACTGACCAAAGTACATCCCTTCTGAGCTGGGGATGTCTTTTTGCCTGCCCTGTGAGACTCGTGCTCGGTGTAGGCTTAGGTAACCTTGAACTTTAGATGTCTGGAAATCCTAGCTGCAATCTGCCTTCCATACTGCCCACACAAGCACCAGGTACCTGAACTTGTACTGAACCGCCCAGGCCAGAGGTTCCAGTGTGGGGTGTGTGTTTATGTGTGTGTTAACATGAAACTTGGCAGGAGGGAAAGGGTCCTCAAGTTCAGGTGCCAGTTCTAATGGGAATGTAAGCAGTCTCTCATTGGCTCCAGACTCTGAACCGCTCTTGGATGCCAGGTTCCCCACCCGGCTTCTTGGGAGCCAGGGAAAACAGCAACAGAATGGGGAGCAGTTCCTCTCCCCTTCAGCTGGCAGGAGACCATGCACTAAATTCCTGGCGCTGAGCTTCAGTCTCCAACTTTCGTCTTACCTTGGTGATAAGACACTATTCCTCACTCAGGAATTCCAGTGCTGACGTGAGGCGTTCTGAGCGATGTGCTCACTCAGAGCCCCTGGGCACCGGGCAGTGGGGACAATCGCTAGGCAAGGTGGCATCTGGCCCCCAATAGATGGTTCACACGTGTGGTTTGGGACACAAGTTGTTTTGTTTTTTCATCTCCCCAGCCTGTCACTTGGGGATGTGGGTCCCCGTGTGCTGTGAGAACCTGTGATGTGATGTATTAATGGAATTGGTGTGAACCCCTGGATCTGCTTACCATTCAGCCATACCCCTCTGTCTTGAGCCCCTTTCCTCTGTGGCAGGAACTCTTCAGCACGTGCTGCTGTGAGCTGCCACCTCTCCTTTCTTTCCAGTGAACTTTCTGGTGCTACCATCTGATTTTATGATGCCCTACATCCTTCTCCTAAAGCCTGCCTTCAAGTATGGGTATCCAGCGTGAGAGGAGAGCCTAGTGACCGCGAGGCCCTTGCCTCCTGGGTACCTGACCTGGGGCTCCTCATCGGGACCAGCCCTGTGGGTGGATAGTCTGTCAGTTGAAAGCACTTCCTGTTTGCAAGGTTAGAGTCACAGCCTTCATCAGATGGAGAGTCGTCGGTCAGCTGTGGAATCTGATGCCAGCGTTTCACAGTTGACTTTGGAGCATGTTGCAGTTGGACCAATTGAATTCAGGGCAATCAGCGGGGAGGGGGGTCATAAAGGAGAGGTGTTTCAAAGACCTGGCAACTTCTCAAGGAAAGGTGGAACTTTTATTTAGCAGTGGGCTTTCTGATTTTGTTACATTTTTCTCTCTTTCCTGTCCCCCATCCAATGACTTTTTAAGTTATGAGAATTATAAAGGGAAATAAGCATAATGTTGGTTTGTGGACTTTGCTAAATTTTAAGAAAATCATGAGGATTTTTGTTTTATGTACATTCTGTCATTCAAACTGGTGGTTTATAGACATTTTGGTATATTCAGAAGCCTTTTTTTTTGTTACTGATGAAAGTCATGTTTTGATCTCATCTTCTAGAAAGTGAGGACCTCATACCTTTGTGATGTCAGCTCAGTCACACATAGTATCTTCACGCCTGTCATTCCAGTTGCTTTCTGAAATTCTTCCATTGCTTCCGGCTTTCCAGGTTCCAGAAAGTGGAGATCCCAATTTCAGGAGACAGATCTGAATAGAAGTGTCAGAATCAGATCTGATTTAAAAAAAAAAAAAAAAAGGTCATGTTTTTGACGGTGGTTTTTTGTTTGCTGATATTACTGGCTTTGTGACTGAGAGTTTCATGGAGATCCAGTTTGGCTCAGCTATTTAAAAAAATCTGTGCCTACTGCTCTTATTGTGCTGTTGAATTTGTGGCTTTTCAACTTCTACCAGCCCCTCATGGCATGTGCCCTGTCTTCACTTCTGATGGATGTCGATCTATGTTTCCTGTTCAAAGTACTGCTTTGCCTTTTCTGATTCCTCACTTTTGTGATTAGCCTTTTGGTGATTTGTTTCCTGCATGCTCTTCCTTTGAAACTCTCCTCTCCATTCTGCTTAGCTTTCACACGCAGACTTGCTGAGCCTTTTCTTTTGCAATTCAGATTCCTCAAATCATTTCTGTTTCAATTGTGCTTGAACTCATTTACTCTTGGCAAAGTCAAGGTCTTTCCCCTGCCACTCCCTGGATAAGGATGGGTGCCATGTGCTCCCTCTCCTGGGAAATATGCCCCTCTAATAAACCTTATAATAATCTTAAGAAAAACAAAAGTCTGATCTAGCCCCCTACTGGATGGCCTAGCTCTTTCTGGACTTTGACTAGATGATTACATCTAAGATAATGATCTCCTCCAAGATCACCTGATCACTATAGTTGGACTGCAAAATACATTTTCCATTTACATGGGCTAAAACTTCTCAATGTCCTTGTTACCATGTCTGTGCTTACAGAGATCACCGGTACCCAGAGCTGCTGGTGGCTGAGCGTCCCAGCTGGAGTTTGGTTTCTTTGGTAGTATGGGGTCTTCACGGAGATCAGCAAGATTTTACAAATGATCATCCATTTGAAGTGTGACATGTTTCTTTGGGGTGTCTTTTTCTTTCTTTTGAGTCTGCTCCAACTTTCCTGAACACAACCTTGATGTTTCCGCCATGTCTTTTTCCAGTTGATACAGTTGCAGTCTCTTTCTCTTGGTTTGTTCAGAGTTCAGCAATAACCCAGGTAAAATTCCACGCAAGGAGCTGTCAAGGCCCACACCGCCCTCATTAGAGTCGTCCACATCTATGAGGTGGAGGCAGTGACTTATGATCATCTTTCCCCTCCCAAGAATCCTGTCATGGTCTAGGTCCTGACTGGAGTGAAAGCCAGTGAGCCCAGGCTCATTCACAGTAGTAACAGAATAAACACTGGACATCAAAAAAGAACGTGAGATCAGGGCTGCTGCTCACTGTGAAGTACAGCAGCTTGAGAACCTTACCCTGAGTCACCAGTCCTCGGTACAGACTAAAGAAAGGACATTTTTCACCACAGACTTCCAAAAAAGGCATTTCAAGGTGGCAGCTGACCTTCCCAGTCTTATTCATTGGCTATTTGAGCAAAAAGGATCATCATCAAGCCTGGGAAATCCTGGGGTTGCTCACTAAATCCCATCATGGGTGATTTTCCCAGTCAGTCTGACCAGAAGCAAGAGAGAGACGTGTATAGAGTCCAAGGTTCTCTTCTCCCACAGTCCCACAGAAAGCCAGCACAACTAGATTACAGCCTTATTCCTATCTGTGGTCTGTGGTCATTTCTCATCCATTCTTTAAGAACCCAAGAAGTTCTTTATCTTTATCTCTCTCTCCATGCTGCGGGGATGCGCTTGTGCTGCGGGGATGCTTGCGTGCTCTGTTTTTGATCTGAACTGGACTTCTTTAGGAGGAAGTGTTTTCTCATGATCTTGCTCTTTTATTTGTAAGAGGGAGGTTTTTTTCATTTCTGTTTTGCTTTGATTGAAGCCTAGGCATCTTATATTTTCTGTATCCACGAAGCTGAGCTTACTTTTAAGTTGAGGTCGGTCATTAATTAGTCACAATTAGTGTCTGGATATTTTTTCCCCCTAAGCTTCCAATTTTTTTTTTTACAGTCTCCTTCCCAGCATTTCACTTCCAGACACTGTTTATTTTTTGCTGATATGATTGACTTCAGGACTCACTGGGAGCCTCATGGAACCGATCTTCCAGGTTCTGATATGATCCAGTCCAAGCAAAAGCTTGTGGAGGCCCGCAGCTTCCAAGTCCATCTATATCAGTCATCCAAATCTATGAGGCTTAGGTAATCAATTGGTGTCCACCATTCCCCTTTTCAACACACGATGATGAAAAGTCAGATGTTTTTCTTGTTTTCAGAGTCTGTCTTTGAACAACAATGTTGTTAGGGATTTTTTTTCATTGAGTTGGGTTTCCTAACTAAATAAGGGTGTGTCTGTGCTATCTCTGAAGTGGATGTGGCTATGTGGCCTAGCTCCTGGTGTTGTTGTTGTTGTTGTTGGTGGTTGTGGGGCTTGAGCTCTGGGCCTGGGCGCTGTCCGAGTTTTTCAGCTCTAGGCATGTACTCTACCACTTGAGCCACAGTACCACTTCTGGCTTTTTGAGTGGTTATTTGGAGATAAGAGTCTCAGACTTTCCTGCCCGGCTTTGAGCTGCAATCTTCAGATCTCAGGCCCCTAAGTAGCTAGGATTACGGGCATGAGCCTCCAGCGCCCAGTGGCTTTTATGGGCAGAAGTAACCGAAGAGCTGTTTAGCTGTCTGATCAATCGCCCTTTTCCCATTCCAACACAGTTGACTTCATATGCAGCTTGAGTTGGCCACAAGGCACGGTGGGGGGGGGGCGCTCAGAGAACTCCTCCAGGAGGAGGGAAGTCAAGTCAAAGGTGTCCCTGTCATTTCCATGCTGAGCTGTACATGACTGACATTTTGGCAGGAAGTCCTTTAAGAAAAGAATGTTAAGAACCTAAGCCTGTCTTCTGGGTGCTTCATTTGATTTCCAGGCATTTTGTACTTTCCCAAACTACCTGCTAAAGTCCTAATGTCACATGGACCACCGGGCAAGGCGAGGCTGAGCTGCCTGTACTCCCCGTACTCCATCTGGCCGAGGGACTGCCATCCCAGATTCCTTTGCAGGGACCCAGCATGGTGGGGACAGGATGGGGGACCTGAGCTAAGAACACGCACTGGCTGCGCTGAGGAAGCACCTGCAGAGACCACCCGTGCAGCACACGGCCTGTTTCCAGGGCCCACCACCCCTGGAGGGGGGCAGGTGTCCCCATGCTGTTTACCCCCTCAGCCTTGCTTCCCAAAGTGCCGCATGTCAGTGGAATACTAGCATCCCACCCATCACTCCAGAAACTCAAAGGGCTTGGAGTTTTGCCTGGGCTGTGGAGAGCTGGTGCGGATTTCCGTGTGTATATATTTGTGTGGGAAAGTTAAGTGACCATCCATTAAAGAGGAAGTGGTTGAAAAGCATAGATCTGGGCTCATTATAATGGCTATTTTTCCATCCCACCTACCTGGTCTTCCTGTTTGTTTATTTTTTTTAAGCTGAAAAGTTAATTTTCCTAAAGCACCTCTATATATCCAAATATAAAAGTCCAATACCTCTTAGACCAAACGGGAAGCTCTTTTGCTCTCAGTTTGCCTTAAAGTATTCCTCCGCAGTGGCGGGTAGTGTGGGTCTCCTCCTTAGTACTGGTCACTTACCTTGCTTACTGAAGCTGAGGCTCTCTTGTCAATGCAAATGTGTTCGCACTTGGTGAAATAAAGCTTTTGAGTTTGAGAAATAAAAAGTATATTTAAAAGTGAGAAGCCTGTCTGTTGTTTGTCCTTGCCACAGTGTGTCCCTGCAATGGTCACCTTGCTTGAAGATTGAGAAAACCTGGAGTTGGGCAGTGATGGCTAGCCTGCCTTGGCTGGAGGCTTGAGTGTGGTTACACTGGAGACCACAGATTCCTTCTCCAGCAGCCTGGCTGACTTGCCACTGACTTTCATCGTGGTCCTTAGGCTGTGGGCAAATTCTTACCCTGGGTGTTGTCTTGAAATACAGCTTCAGTGGAAGTAGGTTTTCTCTGGTGCCCTTGGCTCCTTGCTTCTTGCAGTGAGAGAATAAACCTCATCCATACTGCAGGAAACTGCTAATATAGTTTATATTGGCACTGGGGCTTGAACTCGGGGCCTTGAGCTCTTGCTTGATTTTTTTTTTTTTCTACTCAAAGCTGGTACTCTACCACTTGGAGTCACAGGTCCCCTTCTGGCTTTTTTTGTGATACTTAGAGATAAGAGTCTCTTAGCCTTTCCTTCCCTGAGCTCGCTTCAAACTGCCATCCTTAGATCTCAGCCTCCTGAGTAGCTAGGATGACAGATGTGAGCCACCAGTGCCCTGCCAGTCTTGGAAATCCATGTGGTTTGACCCCTTCTAAGTTGAGAGGGTGCACAATTTCTTCTGGGCAACCCACCACGCAACCAGCCTTGAAAAGCTCAGCCAAGTGTCACCCCTCTTGTAGCTCCCAGTGCCACCTGCACCCCGAGTGTCTGCCAGCCTGCGTTGGGCTCAGCACAGCTCTCCACCTACATTGTGAACTCTTGTCTGTCTCCTCCTCTCCTCCTCCCACACTCTGGCTTACATTCGGTGTTTGGGGTGTTGGATTTGATGCGTTTGTCCCTGTAGAACTTGGCCCTGGGCCATGGGTGGCTAGGAGGCTGAATCCTGGGTATTTACCCGAGTGT